GAGCCCAGGCACGTTCCATCTGGCTATATTGGTATTTAATTCCAATACCTCCCAGGAAGGCTGGGATTCAGGGATAACCTGAGCATACCCAGGTGGCAGAAGCGGCCGTACAAGCCAGGATCGCACAGGCAGGCGCCGTAGATGCGATGGCAGTGACCGCGGTTGGCACAGTTGCACTTCTTCCTGCAGTGCTTCCCGTAAAATCCCTTGGGGCACCCTAGGAACAGAGAGAGGTTTCCTGGGAAGATGAGCCAGTCTCAGCAGGTTGTTTTAATTGAGAGGAACACACTGAAAATGGAGCTGGGTTCAGTTCTCAGAACTGGAGATGCTCCGAGAGAAGGGATGCATCCCTGCTCCAGTTCCAAGAACGGAACACAGCTCAGTTCTTACTGTATTAGCAATACAATATTCATGGCATAGCACTGATAATATTCTGCAAACTACCTGCTATTCAAACAGTGCCCATTCATCACCTGGCAAGATCTATTCAGTGATATCTCATTAAGGAGTTTGAAAATATTGTTCAGTGTCCTCCATGATGTCTGAACATCTATTGTCAAATACTCCACCAGCCTTGCTTTTTGCACATCTTGACTTACTGAAATTAGATTGCTTGAACTGCTGAGATCAAGCAGGACAGAGATCAGAGTCCCTGCACCAGCTCCAAATCAGCTGGGCAGTGTCACAGGGGATGTCACTTCATGGTGCTCCAGGGCACCCATCAGCTCTGCACTCACTGTGCTGGCTGGGACAGAAATAACCCACCCACAGGGCTCTGAGAGGTCAAGGCTGTCCTCTGTGAGAAAGCAACCCACGAGGCTGCTCCTGTTGAAAAGCCACAGGGATATTTGCGCTATTAAGTGAATAAAATTATTGTTTTTTCTCTGTTATGCTAAAGGCCTCGATATTGGAAGCACATGGCAGACAGGCTGTGTCAGCAGAGTGCTCTGGACAGCAGCTGCCCAGCAGCATGTGCCTGGTCCCTACGAACAGAGGAGCAGAGGAAATGCCACCTTGGGACAACAGAGCAATTCTGCATTGTTTATTTTCATTTTACCTTCCTGTTTTCTCTCAGTCCCCCTCCATCACCTCCTTCCTACAGAAAGAAGAGGCTGGGGTATCTCTTGAGCTCATTTGCATTCTGCTTCACTCTCCTCCTTCAGTAATAGTTCCCATATGCTCCCAACATGTGACTGAAGTCCTTTTGTCTGAATCTCTGATTGTCTCCCTCGTTCTGGTTTTCAAATTTTGTCCCTTAAAATTTAACCCTTTGGGAGCAAGAAATGAGCACCACCAGCAGTCACACCTCCTTTGGGTACTCTGGGTACTTTGGGTTATTACTGCTGTCACAGCTTTCCAATGATTTGGGTGGAAATACCTCCACGGTTTCCATGGAAATTAACCATGGAAATTGTGGGTTAGACATTCTTTCCTGTGTCTGCCACTGAATGCCCCATGAAATAGAGATTTCTGCCCTCAGTCATGGATGAGCAGTGAACAGGGACTGGAAAGATCTTTGAGTGCAAAGACAAAACACCTGGAGCACTGTTTTGTGGGGGAAGAGTGCCATTTACCACTCCTTTTGCTGTTTAAAATGACATTTTTCCACACAGGACTCAGTGGCTAGTGGACTCAGATGGAGAAGACGTATGTTCAAGCTGCTCTCACTGGGATGGCTCACCAAGAGAGCTGAGAGATGCTGCTGATGGGCAGCTACAAAAGGACCAGTGTAGGGAACCCCACAGGAAACACTTCCAGGCTTCAGAGAAGCATATCTAGGACATCTGAGGGCATCAACAGCAATGGCCACTCCAGCCATTTATCCAGTGATTGCTGTGGTGTGTTTTAACTCCTAATGGTATATTCTGTTATTGCCCAAGGTAATGGTTTGGTCTAAATTACACCCTCCCACCCCATTGTCCATCTACCCTGAGTTCCCTGTCAATCCTACCTGGTGCCAATTCCCCCTGCTTGGAATTCCTTTACAGAAATCCCCTAAAGTTCAATATCCCATTAGTCCATGTGACCCAAACCTCCTACCACTACTTCCCTCATTGGAAGATGCTTTTGTGACCCCTGCCCTTTACTCCTCCCCAGGATATCTCCAATTAGCTGCCGATTTATCCCCTCCCTTTAAGCCACCCCCGTTTAAAAACCCCTACACACCTACCTTCTGTGTCTTTGCTCCCTGACCCTTCCATGGAATAAATCCTTTTGGAAACCATTCTGAAGACCCCTCCCTTATCCTTGTTCCTGCTCTGGACACTTATCAACCTGTGCCACAGAGCTTAAGCCCTACAGCTGTATCCCAGACTGTCACAGACATCTTTTATGAAAAATCTTTTCTTGAGGATTTTTCCTCTTGAGAAGATGAGAGGCCTCAGGAACAAAATGTAAACAATAATTATCTGCTGCTGTGTAATGCAACAGGTGCATCTGTGATTGGTCTCATGTGGTTGTTTCTAATTAATGGCCAATCACAGCCCAGTTGGCTTGGACAGAGAGCCCAAGCCACAAACCTTTCTTATCATTCTTGGCACAGGAGCCGGCTGGGGAAAATCCAGCACCGCGCCAAGTGATGGCAAATCCCTGTAAGAAAGAGGAGGCCAGGGATGGTCCCCAACAGCACAGAGAGGGTGAGGGGATGGTGCACTCACCATCCTGGCAGAGCTCTCCAGCCACGCCGGGCGGGCAGCGGCAGCTGCCATTGGCAGGGTCACAGGTGCCACCATTCTGGCACCGGCAGCTCTGGCTGCAGTTGATGCCGAAGGTGCCGGCTGGGCAAGCTGGGGAGAGAGAGGGAGGTGAGGCTCAGCCTGGTCACAGCCTGGCAGGAGGATGGAGCAGAGCTGCACTCACTCTGGTTGCAGAGCACACCAGTCCAGCCAGCCATGCAGATGCAGCCGCTGCCCTCAGCACTGCAGGTGGCTCCATTCTGGCAGTCATCACAGGTCAGGCTGCAGTCAGGGCCAAAGGTGTGCTCCAGGCAGACTGCAATGAGAGGCACCACGGGTGAGCCCTGCATCTCTCACTCAGGCTCTCACAAGCTCCAAGCAAAGAGCACGGCCCCGACCGCTGCCGCGCAATGCCCACCGAACTTCTCCGACAGCGTGTGCTCCCCTCGCGCTTCCAGCTCCTCCTCCTCCTCTTCCTCGTAGTCATGGCTGAAGAGCTGGGTGAGCTCGTCCCGCAGGATGGCCACGTGAGGGATGGGGCGGATGACGGGGCGCCGGCCATCCAGGGCCTCCACCGTGTCCTCGAGGGCTGGGAGCAGGGACAGAGGGGACAGAGTCACAGAGGGAATGAGACAGGGACTCTGGGATGTTGGACAGGGGGACAGGACCTCTGCAAAGTCTCTGAGAGGTGGGACAGGACCTCTGCAAGGCTCCTGGGAGGTGAACAGCGGAACAGGACCTTTGCAGGGTCTCTGAGAGCAGGGACAGTGGAACAGGACCTCTGCAGGGTCTCTGGGAGGTGAAGAGTGGGACAGGACCTCTAAAAGGGCTCTGGGGGGTGGGACAGAACCTCTGCAAGGTCTCTGGGAAATGAGCAGTGGGATAGGACTTCTACAAGGTCTTTGGGAGCAGGGACAGTAGGACATGACCTCTGCAAGGTCTCTAGGAGGTGAGCAGCGACACCTCTAAAACTTTCCCAGGTTCTTTGTTCAAGGATTTTTTGGCCAGAGTGGGCCCAGGTCAGACATGTGACCTCAAGATTTTTATACAGCTACAAATAAATAATCTTTTATTTCTAACAAGGAAAATCTGCAGGGGCTGGTGACTGTGGAAGGGGCTCTGTTGAACATGGGAGCAGTGTTTAACACTGCAGGCTGTGGAGCTGCTGGAGGTGGAGCTGTGCCACAACTCCCTGCACTTCTCTGGCCAGTGCTGTGAACCAGGCTGGAACAGGACTGGTCCTGCCTGGGAAAGCTCTCCAGGGCTGGGCTGAGGCCCTGCCACCGCTCAGGGGCTGTGAGGGAGCTGGAAGAGGTGAGGGGCAGGGCTAGGGAGCTCTGGTCTGTGTGTTCCTGGCTCGGACAGGAGGCAGAGGAGGGACCCACTGAGGCAGCCTGGATGAAGCACTTACAGATGCAGCTCCTTCTGTCTTCATCCAGCTTGTGCCCAATGTCACAGACACACTGGAAGGAGCCTGGCAGGTTCTGGCACGTGTGTTCACACCCACCGTTGTTGGCAGAGCACTCATCCACATCTACAAAACATGGCACACCCCAGTGACAGGGCCATGCAACAGAAATGGGCTGGTGGCATCTTCTCTGCTAAATGTGTGAAGCCACCAGCTCTAAAAATGGAGTTAAACTACCTCAGGGATTAGGGATGCCTGAGTTTCAACAAAAAAATGTGCTGGGCTTCAGTTCCCATCCATTATTAATTGTGTAGGAACAGGTGGGTGTGTTTGGCTCCTTCCCCTGGGAAATGTTGAGAGCTTTGGAAGTGAGAACAATTATTAGGGGGATTTTTCCCCCACTTTCTTTCTGTTGGGAAGGTGACTCACCAGAAAGCTGGCAGGAAAACTGGTAGGAGCTGGGAGAAACTGGAAGAAATGCCTGGCTGTTGGCAACCAGGTAGGACAATTTCTTGTTCTCCTAATTAAAAGCTTCATTAGTCACTGTCTTGGCTGTGTTTTACACAGACACTGTTATTTCTCTTTATCCCTTGGGTGAAAGTGATGGGCAGTGTTGCCCTCTGGGGTTGAACATCAAATGGTTTCTGTAATTAACGGGGTCAAGCCTGGGCCAGCTCACTCTGAGTTAGCCCAGTCTGACCTTGATGTGTTCAAAAACCTCTCTCCACTTGGGCTGGGCTTAGCACAGGGGTTAGAACCAACACTGAACAAACTGAGGAGAGTGACAACAGGCTAATTAGAAATAGAGGGAGGTGCTGGCACTCACCATCACAGCCACAGCCATCGGTGCTGAGCCTGTACCCAGCATGGCAGGAGCACTCATAGCCCCCAGGGTAATTGTAGCAGTCCTGCTGACAGCAGTGAGAGCCCGTGTCACACTCATTGATATCTACAAGAGAAACAAGGGGTGTTAATGCATTGCAGAGAGGTGGTTGGAACTGGGAAACTGCTCCCTGACTAGTTCTGAGGAGGTTTTACTGGTCTGCTGCCAAATGCTGAGCCAGAATTCAGAATTTCAGTTCCTCCTGAAATCAGGGAGTTTTGTGTTAACTGATCATCCTCCCCATCCAGGGAGGAATCCTGAGGGAAGCTCATTGTGATTCCCAGATTGTGGTTACAGGTTTGGTGTCCTTGCAAGCAGGGTGACTCCAGCTGACTGACTCCTGCTAGGGGCAGTTTCATCTGAGAAAAACTAATTAGTTTGGAAGTCATAATTACTGCCCAAGTCATAAGTGCTGTCCAAGTATATCCTGAGGGAAGTTTGGGGACGTCTTTGAGCAGAGCAATATTTCATCTGCTCTCACTTTCCATCAGTTTCTATCCTCTTTAGCCTGTTTAAAGTGCACATATACAGTAGCCAAGAGGGATTCTGACCTAAGATCCCAAGAGGGATCCTGACCTAAAATCCCAAGAGGGATCCTCACCATTACCTGGGATGGAAATCAAGGTGTTGTGGCCTTCTCCTGTTCCTTACCAGTGCACGACTTCTGGTCCTCTTCCAGCCTAAAGCCAAAGTTACAGGTGCAGACTGGGCCAGAGCTGGTGTGGTGGCACACGTGGGAACAGCCCCCGTTGTTGGTCTCACAGCTGTTCACAATCTCCATTTCTATCCCTGGAAAAGGCAGCCTGGTTAGGATTTAGGATCCTGTGGGACACATCTGCACGCACAGCTGGCCCCTGCCTGCCCCCACCAGCTCCTGGCACTGCCTGCCCACTGAGGAGGGGGATCTGCAGTGGGAAAGGATGGAAATAGCTCAGCACAGAGGCCACTGCTGGGCTGGGAAGTTGGGGTATAAAAAGAAACCTCTGGATCTCACGCAGCCTCTCAGCGGAGCAGGCTCTGGACAGTCTCTGGGATGAAAGTGCTCCCACTCCTGCCAAGCAGCAGCGTGTGCTGCCAACCAAAAGTTGGCTCAGGCTCAGAGCAGAGCTGTGCTGGTGCCAGGCAGAAATGGGAGCAGCAGAACACGGCTAAGTAGGGAAACATCCAGATGCCTACAAGCCAGGATCGTTAGCTCCTGACATGTCAAAAGCGCTCGGCGCAAACATCAATTGCAGCCATAGATCATCCCAGCTTGGCAAGGTTTCTGTAAACTTGTCTAGTTAATTAAGCTTTCTTAAACCAAAAGGAACTTGTTTCATGGAGCTTTGACTCAGTCCTGAACCTCAGGAAAACAATTTCTGCCTTCAAGAGCAGAGTTTTTCGTGCACTCAGGCCCAAGGAGGATGAAAGAAAGGGAGCTTGAAGCTTCCCAATGGGTCTGTGCTTGTCAAAAACAAAAGCTGGGCCACAGTGGAAGACTTTTTCCAGATTTCACAACATGATTGTCATCCCTCTCTTCCCTTTCCTTATTAAAGCATCACAGAGCAGGGTTTTGCTTAAAAGAAACGTGCTAGGAAGGGCAGGGAGGAGCCTTTCATGTGGAAAGGCTGCTCTGCTGACCCCAGGGCAATGTGTCACAGTGTGAGACTGGCTATGTCCCCAGGAAGAAAACTGTGTACACACTTAGGCTCTTCAACCTCATGTCATCATCCTGGTGCCCCATATTGCTCTGTTTGATGCCTTTCAGGACCTGTTTATGGCCTGCAAAGCCTTGCCAAGCTCCAGCAGCTGCACAAGGGGACCCTCACAGCTCCCAGTACCACCGGGACTGCCACGGTGGCTGTCATCTGTCAGGGCTGGTGGCTCTGGCTCAGCCTGGCCCTGCTGGGGTGCAGCAGCTGCACAAAGAAGCTGTGAGGACAGTCCAGCTCACTCTTGCATCACAGAGTTTATTTCTTTCCTTGATGGGAGCAGATGTGATGCCTTCGCTGGCTCAATTCCTCCAGTGACACATCTGCAGCTGACTGAGCCTGTCCAGCAGAGTCTCCAAGAGCAGAAGTTGGCTTATTTGAAGCCAAATGGCTCCAAATCAATTGCCTTCAACCAGCTAAAGTGGCTTTGTGGTGACTTTAAAGATCAGACCAAGATTTTTATCTTGGTGGGGGAGTAAACAGCCTGAAAATTGCTTGTGAAATCCTTCAGCAGAGATTGCCACAGCTTAGCCCTGGTGATTCCCAGAGGGCAGTGACAAACCAGTGCCTGCAGCAGCCCAGGTGTGCCCTGTCCTGCTGGGCAGGGCTGAGTGTTGGAATCCTGGTTAATGAAAATTTCAGACTTTCTGTGCTGACAGACACTGACTCCCAGGAGAGCACTGCATTGACCTGAGGCCGTGGAGAAGCTTCCAGAATTGAATGATAGCACTGGGATTGTGGGTGTGGAGTTTGACTAGCAGTGTGTGATATTACAGGGTAGAAAACTTAGAGTTTAAGGTTTTAGAATATAGTAATATGTACAAAGCAAGATGGAGGTTTTAGGGCAGTGGCTGGTTGTTCTTCTTCTCCTTCTTCTTCACCTTCTTTTACTCCTTCTTCTTCTCTCCTTTTTCTTCTCCTCCCTATTCTCCTTCTTCTTCACCTCCTTCTTCACCTTTTCACCTTGTTCTTCTTCTCTTTCTTCTCCTCCTTCTTCACCTTTTCACTTTCTTCTCCTTCTCTTTCTTCTCCTTCTTCTCCATGGGTTTGGGTGGTTTTGTGTAATTGGATAAAAAACTCTGCATTACAGGGCACAGGTGGTTGGTTATTGGGTTAAAAGTAAAAATAATTTAGGTGTCATTTCTTAATTGGACAGTTTATCCTTAAAAGGCCTTGCAGAGAGAGAGAGAGACACAGCTCCATTTTTAGTTTGTTAGAGTGAAGTGCTGTAGAACTCAGGGTTTGTGAGACTGTAACAGAGCTAAGAACTAACAAACATCTGAGTCCCAACAAGAAATACCATCTCACAATTTAATCCTGGCCCTGGCATAAAGGAAGCAAAGACTGGAGCCCTCAGTACTCACGGTAGCAGCGCCTGCCGTCCGCGCCCAGCTCGTAGCCCGGGTTACAGGTGCACTTGAAGGAGCCCCGGGTGTTGAGGCACTGGTGTGCACACATGGCCAGCCCTGTCAGGCACTCGTTCACATCTGGGAGAGGGAGAAAGCCTAAGATAAGCAGGCTGAACTTTAAGCATCCTTCCAAAGGACTGTTGTTATGGTATTTTGAGTTCTGCACTGGTTTCTTGCACCCTGAACTCTTCATTGGGACACAGAGTTAAGTCTGGAATTGCTGAAAAGCTTCCCAGGAGATGGGATCACATGACAGTGGGACACTCACAGAATCACAAAATCAATTAGGCTGGAAAAGACCTTTGAGATCATGGAGTCCAACCTCTGACCTAGAACTACCTTGTCACCAGAGCACAGCACCCAGTTTAAGAATATTTAAGAATAAACTGGACCTCCAGTTTATTCTTAAATAAAGAATAAAAGATGGTGACTCCACCACCTCCTTGGACATCCCATTCCAACACCTGATCCCCCTTTCAGGAAAGAACTTCCCCCTAATGCCCAGCCTAAATTTCCCCTGGAGCAGCTCTGTTGTTGCAGACAGCTCCAGCAGGGCACAGACCCAACATGAGCCACCCAAGGGAAGGTACGTGCTTCCCACCATTCTGCTCCCACTGAGCACTCCCTGACCCATCAGACACTGAGCTTTTCCCTCAGGAGAGCTCTGCAGGGCACTCACCTTCACAGTTCTTGCCATCAGGAGCCAGCAGGTAGCCAGGGTGGCACTCGCAGCGGGCACGGCCGCGGTGGTTGAGGCAGCGCTGCATGCAGCCCCCATTCCTGTCAGAGCACGGGTTCCTCACTGCAGACAAAGCACAGAGCCCGGGTCAGCCCACACAGATCCTGCACAGAGCAGCAGGAAACCCTGCAGCCTGAAAATCCCAGGCAGAAAATCCCTGCTCCACCCGTTCGGGAGGATGCGCACGCTGTGAGATCCTGCAGAAGGCTGGCACTGAGCTGGGTAAAACCCTTTCCAGCAGGAGATCCTGCAGAAGGCTGGCACTGAGATGGGTAAAACCCTTCCAGCAGCAGGAGATCCTGCAGAAGGCTGGCACTGAGCTGGGTAAAACCCTTCCAGCAGCAGGAGATCCTGCAGAAGGCTGGCATTGAGATGGATAAAACCCTTCCAGCAGCAGGAGATCCTGCAGAAGGCTGGCACTGAGCTGGGTAAAACCCTTCCAGCAGCAGGAGATCCTGCAGAAAGCTGGCATTGAGCTGGGTAAAACCCTTCCAGCAGAAGCTTGGTATGGGCACATCCCTCTGCAGAGATTACACAGCCAGTGCTGGCAATTTGCTCCAAATGCTCCTACCCAATCTCTGACCTGCCCCAGGACCAGGACAGATGCTCCAAACCTTTCTGGCTGCTGTGTTTGGAACATCCCAGTTGTTCCTTTTGCTGCAGCAGCTCAGGACTTCCCTCCTTCCTGCCTTTTGAAGGCAAACTGCCATGAATGAAAACAACCTTGTGTTCTGTCCCCTTCAGCTTCTGAGCCAGCAGCAGGTCAGCCAGACAGGGAGAACATCCCACCCCACTGCCACACTCTGCTGTCCCTCCACTCCCACAGCAGCCTGTGCCTTCATACAATTTCATTTTTGTTGGCTACAACTCCTCCAGCTCTTCCCATCCCTTGGAATAAACCGCAGGATATGTCCATGACAACAAAACACACAGAGTTTTTACTGGAAATCCCCCAGTTTGATCTGCTGGACATCTGAGCATCCCCATCCTGTCACAGACGTATGTTAAGAAAAATCCTTTTGACAGGATTTTTTTCTCCTGAGAAGCTGAGAAGCCTCAGAGGAAAAGAAAAACAATCATTATCTGGTACTGTGGAATGCAATAGGTGCATCTCTGATTGGTCCATGAGAGTTGTTTCTACTTGATGACCAATGACAGCCATCCGTGTCGAGGCTGTGAGCAGTCACAAGATTTTATTAACATTCCTTTCCTTTCCTAGCAAGACTTCTGATTAAATCCTTTCTCTCTATTCTTTTAGTAGAGTTTTAATATATAATTTTTCTTTTAATGTAATATACATAATATATATAATAAAATATATATTATATATTTTAATATATAATATAATGTAATATATAATATAATATAATATAATATAATGTAATGTAATGTAATGTAATGTAATGTAATGTAATGTAATGTAATATAATATAATATAATATAATATAATATATCTATAATAAGATATAAATTTTAATATATAAATATAATATATCAATATTACATATTAATGAAATTATATAATATATAACAAAATATTTTATATTATATACATTTTAATTATAATTTAATAATATTAAATTTTAATATAATATATATAATAAAATAAATCAGCCTTCTGAACCACGGAATCAAGATTCTCATCTCTTCCCTCATCCTGGCACCCCTGTGAACCCCACCACACCATCCCACAGCTCCCAGCTGGAACCCACTGCCCCCCAGCCCCCCAGCACTCACAGATGCAGCGTTTGCCATCCTGGTGCAGCTGGTGGTTGTGCCTGCACTGGCAGCGGTGCTGGGCCAGGGTCACCTGCACACAGTCGTGCTCGCAGCCTCCGTTGTTCAGAGCACACGAGTTCAGAGCTGCAGGGCAAAAGGGACACAAGGTTTGGCACAAAAAGAGCTTGGGCGGCACCTGGGGATGTGGGGGTGCAGGAGAGGCCACCCACCACCGTGCCAGGTGGGCACCCTGCTCTTTCAAGGCAAGATCAGCTCAGCAATGTTGGGTAGAGTAAAAGGTGGTGACCCCAGCACCTCCTTGGACAACCCATTCCAGTGCCTGATCCTCCTTTTGGGGAAGATACTCTCTAATGCCCAGCCTAAATCTCCCCTTAAAATGGTTCTTTCCCACCATAAGAGGCCGCAGGAGAGTCCCTGGAGGTGATTCCAGGACAGAGGGAGCTGGGTCAGGTCCTGTCCAGCACTGCATGGGAGGGAAGCACATTTCCTGCCAGGCATCCTCCCTCTCCGAAGGGCGTCGTGTCAGCAGCCAGGCTCCTGTGCTGGGGCTGAAATTCCCATCCTTTAGCTGAAATTCCCATCCTTTAGCTCCAGGACAGTCCCTGCAGGTGCAGTGGCAGAGCTGGCTCAAGCCATTACTGCTCTGAGAGCTGTGCTCAGGCACATGCAGGTTTTCCTGTAAAAAAAACCTGAGTTTCTGGCTCTGTGATGTGAAAAGTCACCGAGGCCCAGCAGGAGCTGCAAGTTGTGGGATCACTCAAGGAAAAATGTTTTAAAATCCATATCTGGGCCAGGTGTAACAACCCCCAGCTCAGAGCTCTGACAAGAGATTTCTGTGTGGAACCTGGGGCACTGTGAGCAGTGGTGTAACCCAGACACAGCACACAGAGATACAGCAACAGGAGCTCTGATTTCACCCTCAGTGCAGGCAGCACTGGGAATTGAGCTTCCAAACTGGAGCTCCTGGCCCTGCCACAGCTTTTCTGTGCGCAAGGAGCCCAGCAGATTCCAAGCAGTCAGGAAACAGAAGAAGGTTTTGCCTGAGATAAGGCACAAAACAGATCCCATGATGATTTATCCCCAAACTGATCCTTCATGTGAGCACAGTATTTTGGAAGCAGGAAGGCCTGGAAAGCAGCTGCCAGCAGAAATAACACACCTCTGAATCCCAAGGCAAGTTGGGTCCTTGCTCTTGTACATGAGTGAAAACAAATATTTGGCTCAGGACAAAAGTATAGGCAAATACATATATATTTTCATTTTTTTCAGCACAACCTTCCCCTGCAAAAAAAAAAAAAAAAAAAAAAGCTTTGACTTAGAGCTGAGAATCACTCTCATTCCAAATGTTAAAATAACTCAACTTCTCATTTTATACCTCTGATTAGCTAAACAACATTTGGGGGAATAAAAGCAGCTTGACAGGGTCAAGGTTTTGCCATATAAAACATAAGGCTGGAGCAAGAACTTGGGGTTTATGTTAGTTTTGCTGGCATTGTTTCCTTTAATCCATTTGGAAGGAAAAAACAGGAATACTTAACGTTCCTGAAAAGCTCTGGGTCAGAGTTACACTACTCAAGCCCTAGCAGAGATGGGTGGTCATTTTAAAATATTCCAATATATTTAAGTATTTAATAACATATTCAAAAATAGCCATAAATAATGGGCTTGTTGGAGAGAGCCTTTTTTTTTATTAAAAAAAAAGAAAACAAGTTAAACAATGCTGATGCCTGCCAAAACATTCCTTCATCTGGGAAAAGCACTGGGCCAACATGGAACAAGCCAATGCATCTTGTGTCTAAAATAACCTCCCAGGATGCAGTTATTTGGGTTGATTTGAAGTTTAAATAACTGCCTCCTTGCAAATTCCTAAAAAAAATTGAAAGTTTGAGTTCTTCCATGCAAGATTTCAGGAGAGAGAGCCCGTGTGAGGCTGGGTCTCCTCAGCTGGCTCCTCAGTCACAGCCAGCAGACCTCGCTGCTGGCCTTGTTTTAATTACTGCTCGGGGTTTTTATTCTGTTTACAGAACCACTCTAAAAATATTTCCATTCCCAGATGCTCTGCCCGAGCTTAACATTTCTGTGACAAGGCTGCCAAGCCCAGTGTCATCCTGTACATCACACAGATTGTTGTAATTACGGCGCAGACAGATTTTCCACAGATGAGATTTCAGTGTCTGAGAGAGGGAGGTTCCTTTCCAGCCCCGCTGTCTGTGCTGCTGGAAGATGCTGCTCCCACATTCTGACCCTCTCAGGCCTGGAAAATGGATAAAGAGGGATGGAAAGGAGATTTTTGCTGATTACAGCTGGGATGTGGATCTGTGCAGCAGCAGCTTAACACTGGAGTTGATTTAATACCTGATCTCTGCACCCTCCAGCTGCTCTTCTGACTTTTCCTCTCTCTTCTCACTTCTCCTTTTCCCTCTCTCTCACCTTTCCTTTAGAGAAAAGTGATTTGCTACCAGAAGCAGGGAGTTGATGCCCTAAGAGTGACTGTGAGCAGCTGTAACTAAAACTGAGCAGGATGTTCCTTCTTCAGTGTCACAAAAACCCAGCAATTCTAAGAAAAGGCTGAAAAATGTGTGACTGGGCAAAGAAAAGGTCAAATTCCCTAAAATGTGCAAGTTGTCTGTAAAGTGGAAAGCCTCACCAAGCACACGTGGTCCCTGCACACACAGCTCAAGCCCACACAAACCTCCTGGCCTGGTCCCTCTGTTCATTATATCACCCCTGTCACTGAGACTTCTTCATTTGAATTTCTCCTCATATAAACAGGGCTCCATCAATGTAATCCCAAACTGATTCCTCCTAACCTCAGACAACTTCCAGAAACATGTTGTGTGTTAATCCAGACCATCTCTCTGCTCCTCAGGCCAACAAAAGCAATTGGCTCCCATCAAACCCCTCTGGCCTGCATCCCTCTGCTGAAACAGTGGAGAAGGACCTGGAGATGTCAGCTTCCTGCCTCCTGCCCATGTGGTTCTGATAAAAAAGGAGGTGATTTCAGGACGCCCAAGGCCTCTCTTTGTTCTGTTTCACTCACTGCTGCTCCTTTTCTCCCTCTCTCAGCAGAGATTGGAACACAGACACAACAAAAGGATCCTGCACGATGGAGCTGCAGAGCACCACCTGAGAGCTGGGCACTGGAAGGGGGTTTTAAGCCATTTTTGGGCCCTCCTGAGTCATAGGAGGTACCAGCTAACCCTCAGCCATGCCAGCACATTGTAGGGGAATTGTGGAGCTCCAGCTCAGCGCTGCCGATCCATCATTGCAGCCTTTGTGGGTTTTGTGGGGACCAGGAAGCATTTAAAGAATGAGATCCATGATTTGACAGCCCTTAACGAGAAACGACTGCAAAGGCTTCTTTCTGTACCCAGAACACTCTGGCTGGGGCACTCAGGAGCTTCCTACCACCCAAAATTGTGCTTGTCCCAGTGTGGAGCTGTGAGCTTCCCTCAGCAGAAGGACAGGGATGGATGGATGGATGGATGGATGGATGGATGGATGGATGGATGGATGGATGGATGGATGCTCACTGTCTCCAGTTCCCTTCATTCCTAGCCTATTCTCTATATCTAGTGGCAATATTTTGTGTTTAAACAGCACAGAATCTCTACAGAAAATGAGAGGATATCCCAGCTTGAGGAGAAAAACAGCTTTGAGCAGTTAACCCCAAATCCCTCAAAACTGACTACAAGGCAACCAGCCTCACAAACTCACTGCAGATCCTGCAGGCTCTGCTCTCCAGGAACTGCCCCACTCACTCACAATCAGTTTTCATGAACAGAGACCTCTCACTTTTGGCAGATGAATTCCAGCACTGCACTTTATGGCTAATATTTGCTCACAAGTTTAATGCAAAGCAGGTTTGCAGCGCTGGGCACGGGCAGCGGGAGCGGGGTTGGATCCTGTGGGAATGCTCAGCCACACCAGCAGGGAAGCCTGGAGAGTGACAGAAAATCATGGAAACTCCTCTTAAAGAGGAGATTCCTCCCTCTAGAGATCCATTTAATGCTTTCCCTGAGAACCGTTCCAGCTTCTGGGGCTGCTGAGCACTCCTGGTATCAGCTCCACGAGGCTGTGGGATTATCATTGATATTTTTGCCCCCAAAGGAAAGGAATGATGAGGATTCTATGGATATCAGAAAGCTAATTAATTACTTTATTATTCTATATTATTCTCTAGTATATTACATTACATCTAAACTGAATCTGTTAAGCACTCAGCTCTGTATATAACTGAACTTTTTTTGTGATTGTCAGCCCACAGTCCTGACACATACACACACCTGGCCCTGATGGGCCAAGGAAACAAAACACCATCACTCTGGGTAAACAATCTCCATATTGCATTCTACATTGGCACAGCAAATGAGATAAGAATTGTTTTTTCTTTCTCTGAGGTTCAGAGAATGTGAAACCCAGAAGTATTCTTGGGAAGAATTGTGCCTTGCTTTTCTCTGTGAGGAGAAATGTGGTGACACGGGATCTCTGCTCACCACAAGAAAGGGAGCAACATATCCCAGAGACAATTAGGAGATGACAGACCACAGCACACTTACATGTGAGCAGCAGCAGCTCCTCACCCTGACACGAGTGTGGAGTTCACTGCTGGCTGCCAGGCTTGGCTTTGTCCCTTTTTTGCCAACCTTTCCCTTCTGGATTTTTCCAGTGAAATATGGGAATCCTGCACCTTAAATCTCACTTGGTTGAGTGTCATTATGGACTGGCCAGATGTGAGCCAGTGCAGAGCTGGGCACAGCCTCCCTGGATGGATTTTTCCTGCTCACATCTCCATTCCCAACTGGAACACACAGGCAGACTCTGGAGCGTGACTGTGTTCCGAGAAAACCCTGCGAACACCACGGCCCGGGAATTCTTTCCACTTGCATGAAAATATCCCTCAAATAGTGGAAAAATGTGTCAAATGAAGCTGTGGGGGAGAAGTGGTTCAATTAAAACAGCCACAGATGCTGGAGGCAGACTGAGTTCCATTCCGAGCTCCAGTTTGGGGCAGGCAGAAAACAACATTTCAAGGAATTGGCCCCAAAATCAGCTGCAGGGCAAACCTGGGGCCTGGATGGTGATGGTTGAACAAGCACCATCCAAGAAAATGCAAGACCAGCATCCCAGAGAAGAAAGTTTTGGATTATTATGGCCACAGCTCCACACACAGCCACATTTACTGTCATTTGTCTGTCACACCTGCTGTCCACAGCAATACTGAAAAAATTCAGTGAAAATACTGAAATTTTGGGGAAATTCTGAGGTCAAAATGAAACCTGACTTGAAATTCCTCATAATTATATTTATGTATCTGTTCTGAGAATGCCATATCTCATATATATTGAATCAAAAGCAGAAGCACCAAAGCACTTGGGAGCTATTTCTCCTGAACCTGAATAAACTCAGGGATGGCAAAGCAGCCCCAGTTTTGTGACCACATGGAAGAAAAACAAATGTTTTGAACCCAGGGATTCTCCTGAACCAGAATAAACTCAGATAAATAAACTCATGAAAGCAGCCCCAGTTTTATGTGTCCACATGGAAGAACAGCAAATGTTTTGAATCCAGGGATTTTCCTGAACCAGGAAAAACTCAGTGACAGCAAAGCAGCCCCAGTTTCAAGCGACCACATGGAAATATTTTGAACCCAGGGGCACAAACTGTGAGAGAAGACACAGGTACTCAGAGGAACCCAAACCCATCAGCACTATCTCACATTTTGGGCACAGTGCATGGGAGTGAGTGATGAAATCAAGGTTTTCTGTTCACTGCCATGGGTTTGCTGGTAGGAAAGGGGCTGAAAGGAGAGATTTGCAGGGCAGGCTTACCCAGGCAGGTCCTGCCATCCGTGTGCAGGCGGAAGCCGGGCTGGCACTCGCAGTAGAAGGAGCCCAGGGTGTTCACACAGCGGTGCTGGCAGCCCCCGTTGTGCACCTGGCACTCGTCAACATCTGCAAAAAAAGAGGGGGAAAATGCTCAGGAGAGTGGACAAGAGGATGTCTGGAATATTTATTCTCTGCTGCCCAACTCTGGATTTGAGGGATGAAAGCAAAGGGAACAAGATTGTCCATTTTATGTTCAATAAGTCAAGCTGTTTGTGAAATTCCAGTGACAAATCTGCAACCAGTGAACAACAACCACAAAAATCCAATTTGATTTGTCACTCAGCACAAACCATCCTCATCTGATCACCTGACAATGGTCACCCTTCCCACTGACTCCAGGATAATGGATGAATTCATATTTTACACTTCCTAAGTCTATTTGACACTTCCAAAGGCAGTTTCTGAGGCAGATTTCTCCCTGTGCCATGATCAGAAACAAGGAGATGATGTGGACAGAGCTGCACAGTTCCTTAATTCCTGCCATTTGTGGGTTGTGCACCTACACAACCTTTCAGACTGGAAAGGATGAGAGGGAGGAACCAGATCCCACTCTGGGAACAGCAAAGCAGCCAACCAACCATTCCCTTCCCTGTCATAGATATATTTTATGAAAAAATCCTTTTGCTAGGATCTTTTCTCCTGAGACATTGGGAAACTTTAGCTTCTCCATGTTTTGCTGCTTTGAAATGTGATTTGGAGAATTTTTACCCAGCATGTGAATTGTTTTTTAGTTGATGACCAGTAACAGCCAGCTGTGTTGAGGCTGTGAGCAGTCACAAGATTTTATCATCATTCCATTCCTTTCCGTTGCTAGCCTTTTGATGAAATCCTTTCTTCTATTCGTTTAGTATAGCTTTAGTATATATTTTTTTTAATATAATATATATAATAAAATAATAAATCAGCCTTCTGAAACACGGAGTCAAGATTCTCATCTCTTCCCTCGTCCTGATGAAATCCTTTCTTCTATTCTTTTAGTATAGTTTTGGAATATCATTTTCATATAGCATATATTATAAAGTATTAATATTAATATATAAAATAAATATGAATACATAAAATTATAAAATAGTAAATCAGCCTTATGAAACATGGAGTCAAGATTCTCTTCCCTTGCCTTGGGACCCCTGTGAACAGCACCACACTTCCCTATGGAGAGAAAAACTTCAGCAGCTTGGGTCTCTCCATTTGGGTTTTTCTTTGCACTTTCTTCACCTCCAGCTCCCCCAAGCCCTTCCCAGCAAGGCCAGCCCTGAGCCAGCTCAGTTCCCATCCAGGGCTGTTACTGAGGAGATAAAGAAACATTTCCTGAGTGAATCACGGCAGGGCGGGGAACCGGCCGTGTCCTCGCACGCCAGAGGTGCAGGAACGTGCCCAGTGCCCAAACCCAGCTCTGCTTCACCCACAGCCCCAGTGGGCTGGGAAAAGGCACCAAAACCAGGGAGAAACGCAGCCTTGGCTGAGCCAAATTTTTACATTTGTCAGATTAATTGCCAAGAAAATCAGCCAGCAGCAAGGGAAGGTCTGGGTCAGGGGCGAAATGGGAAAAGTGGGAAAGGTGATGCCTGTTTGAGTCTTCTGAGCTCTGCAGTGATAATACAAAATTAGCCTTTACTCTGAAAGGCTTAAAGCATTAAAACCTAAAGCTCAGAGATCATAAAAACCCCTCCTCTGTCCCAGTGATTCCCAGAGAACCCCCAACCTTCTCTGGAAGTGCTGGGCTCCTCCTGCAGAGCTCCCACTGCAGCTGTGGTCTCCATCAACCCAGCAAAATGCTCATTTCTGTAATGCCAGCCCTTTGCTTTATTCAGCCTTTTAGGAGGTTTTGCTATTTTCTTCCTGTTTTTTTTTTTCCAAGACACTTAATACTGAAAGAAAGGAAAATGAATAGATTTTTGAGGTGAAACATAAGCTTTGAGTGATGCTCTATGAAGAGCGAGCCAAAGCCAAAGTGGCTTTTCAAGGGGAAAAATGTGATGGCATGAGTCTGAGATGCTTGGTCAAAGTAACCTAATTCTGATTAAATCATTTTCCTCTGCACACAGTTGGGACACTGCAGAGCCCTAGAGCCCCTGAGGCACTCCCTGCTCATCTCTGTGGGCAGGATTAGCTATAAATACACACAACTGGCTCTGTTCAGCTCAGAAACAGGAAAACTGGGGTTTGGGAAGGTTTTATGTAGCACAATAAAGTTTTTTGGTCTGAATTTAAATGACTATTCCACTGCTTCCCTTCAACTCTAATCTGAAACTGTTGAGAATTCACTGTCCAAGAAACTTAGTGATGTGTTGAGTAAACTTCTTACTCTCACCCCATTACTCACACTCAGCAATTTTACATCTCCTCTCTCCATGGCTCTTCTTTCCCCCTTTGTACTTTTCACCCTCTAAATCTCCGTGATTGCAGAGGGCTGTCCCCATCCCAACCCCCTCCTGGCTGGGGAGAGCAGCCATAGAATCACCCATCACCTTTCCCTGCCACCCCCAAATCCCAGAGCCCCTCCTGGAGCCTCTCCCTGATCTCCTGTGCAGCACCAGGGAGATTTTGGGACACCCTGCACCATGGTGTGACCAAAATAAATCTGTCCCCACGGGCAGAGAGAGGGCAGATCCACCAGCCAAGCCTGGCACCAGCAGCACCTCCAGCCAGTGAGTCAATGGGAAAATGGACTGATGTGGCATTCACATTCCCTGAAAAAATTCCCTTTGCCCAGGATTTCTCTCCTGGGAAGCTGAGAAGCCTCAGAGAAAAGGAAAACAATTTTTATCTCATTTGCTTCTCCTGTGTTTTGTTTGTGTGGAATGTGTTTGGGGATTGCTTCATTGGATTCTGCTGTGAGTTGTTTTGACTCTTTGGCCAATTGGGGCCAAGCTGTGTCAGGACTCTGGAAAGAGTCACGAGTTTTCATTATTATCTTTTTAGCATTCAGTAAATATCTTTTCTGTATTCTTTAGTATAGTAGAGTATTCTATAGTCTTTAATATATAATATATTCTATATTCTTTAATATAACTATAATATCATGGAGTATATAACTATATATTATATAGTTATATACTATATGATGCCATAGTTATATATCTACTATATATATAATATATATACTATATATAACTATATTATATTAAAGTATATAACTTCAATATCATATAGTATATAACATATTCTATCATATATATAATAACATATATATTCCTTAATATAATATAGTATCAGAAAATAATATATTCTATATTCTTTATTATAATATAGTACCATAAAATAATATATTGTATATTCTTTAAGATAACTATATTCTTTAATATAATATAGTATCATAAAATAATAAATCAGCCTTCTGATGCCATGGAGTCAGATTCACCATTCCTCCCTGCAAATACAACAGACTGGGAAGCAACAGGAGCTGCTCCCAGGGCCAGGAGGAGCAGCTCTGGGCAGGTCCTGGCAGCAGGAGCCAGAGCCCTACGTGACACCGTGTGAGCTGTGGTTCGTGGCACAGCACGGCTCTTCTCCTGCTGGAGAGCTGACAAAATCTGGTTGGAATTAATAATTCCAAAGGAGAGCAAATGAGAAGCATACAGGCTTCTCTTCAGCTGACTCTGAGCCGTGCCAGGACAGGGTTTGCCAAGCTCTGCTCTGCATGCACGGGGCAGTGGGCACCAGGAAAAGGCAACTGAGGAGGAGCCCAAAGCAGCAAGGGCTGGGGATGGGGCTTGGATCAGTGAGATAGCAGAGATATTGATCTCTGCTGTGTAAAGAAACTGGAGTGCTGCAAGGAAGGCTCATCCCAGCTGTTCCCTGAGCAGAAACAATCCCTGAAACCTCAGACACCTACATGGACTAACACAGGTAATACAGAAATCAAAAACAGGGAAAGTGAACACAAAACCAAAAAAAAAAAAGGTTTGGTTAGATACCTGCATGGACTAACACAGGTAATACAGCAACCAGATATAGGGAAAGTTAACATGGACTAACACAGGTAATACAGCTATGAAAAACAGGGAAGATGAACACAAAACCAAAAAAAAAGGTACCTGCATGGACTAACACAGGTAATACAGCAATCAAACATAGAGAAAATGAACACAAACCCATAAAAAAAGGGCACAGAATGAGGAGATGGCTTTGGCTGGCTGCACTCCCTGTGAATACACACAGGTCCTCCCAGGAGTAATACTGATTTATCCCCAACAAGAGCAACACGTCAGGGGGAAGAAAGTGGCAACAGCAGCTCTGCAAAGCATTAAATATTTGGTAGGGAGGCAGTTTATCTCCTTGCAGGGCTGAGGAGGAGGGATGGAGCCCAGCTGGGAGCACAGGCAGGAGGAGAGCACTGCTGAGGTTTGCTCTGTCTGGCTGAGCAGCAGTGCCAGGCTCTAATCCCTGCAGCAATTAGCCTGGATTACAGAGCAGGGCTGCAGGGAAAAGGTTAATTAAAATCCACCCAGATGAGCATGTGTGGGATTTAGTGAGTTTATCTTTCCAGTACCAGTTTGCTGAAGATAATTCAGCAATTTCAAGGAGTAAAAAAACTGAATGGAGAGGATACAACAGTCCCTGCTGCTGGGCTGTACGGGCCATCCCACACTGTGGACACAGATTAGAATGAAAAAACCCTCTGCATTACTTCATTTCTTGCATGTAACACACAGTCCCAACATATACAACATATATATAGCAATATATATATTATATATTTATTTATATATAATATATATAAAATGTTACATATATTATATATATTGTATATATAATATACAGTATATAATATATAGTATATTATATATTATATATTACATAATATAGATAATATAATATATATAATATTTGTATATATAGCATAGTATATATAATATATATTTTATAATATATATGTTATAATATATCTATATAATATAACATATATATAACCTATATAATAACCTGAGGAGTTCTGATGCCCTGTTACTCCACACTCCCTGTGTGCAGACAAATCAGCCATGGCAAGGTCCAGCAGTGCAAGGAGGCCATGGGAGAGGACAATGCTTCATCTCCTCTCTGCTGGCCTGGAAGTTTTTTCCTCC